CACTGGTAAACCTAAAATTACCTTGCTAGTTGTTGCTAATCTTGTTTTGTTCTCTCAAATGACTCTAGGTCTAATTTAATTAGTTAACTGACTGGTTTAATCTGATCAGTTTGGGTTACCAAAAGAAGGCAGCCGGTCTCTGAAGTGCAGTTTTGTTGTCATTCCTGAAAAAACACAGAAACAAAGCCAGAAAACTATGAATAAAAATGCTTCCTAAAAGTGATATAATACTTTTGTTAAGGGCTGTGCATTAAAGCTGAATGACTGTATTTCCTTACAGTGGAGTTTAAGTTAAACAATCAAGGTGTGATTAAAGTGCAGACTTTTATCTTTAATTCAAGGGGTTTAAAATAAATATTTTATTGACTATTCAGGCATTACAGCCATTTTTATCCACAGGCCCACTAATGCTGACTGAAAAACAGTTTCATAAGCAGTTTCAAGGCCTGTTCTCTTGTTGTTGCATGAAAAATTAAGATAAAAGATCTAGACGTCACTTCAAGTGTTTCACTTGTATTTGCTATGTTTTTACTGGAACTTAATTAATACAAGTGAAGGAGGAACATGTCAGACTGACAAAATAAAATCACTAGTGTTTATGGTGATGTGACTGGTGATATGAGTAGCAGAATGAACTCTGAAGTCTCTGAAGCTGTACTCTGTGCACTGATTCTGCAAAATGCTGCAAAACTGATCAGATGGGGATCTAGTTAGCCCAACGTCTTTTGACCCTATGAACATGGTGCACTGTTTATAGAATGGCTGCAATTCATGCAGAGTTCATGCAAAACTCCTTAAATTAAAGCTGTGCTTCAATCACATCTAGATTTTTTGATTTGGTAGTAGTTCAAAATCAGAGATTGCACAAATATTTATGATGTAACTGAATTTGTAATGTGTCCTGCATGTAAAGTAGAATGCATGGGTGTGATTGGTTTGTATCAGTTCACGGAGTGTATTGTGTGTATACCAGTGTTTGGAAGGAGTTGTTCTATTGTTTCTTTATTTTCCACAGTCACACCTATAAAAAAAAAACTTGGTTATCATGGTTAAGTCACAACTATAATCTCATTTTGGTATTTTTAGAATTTATCTCTATTTTGTGATTAATGAAAAGAGAAATCAGTTAATGTAAAAACTTGGCACTAGATAGTACCACCAGGGAGATGCCTATACAAAGAGGTTAATGTGTAAAGTAAAGGTCAGCGTACCCAGGAAGGCGTCGACAAGGATACCGACTCCACTCATGGCTTTAAAGAAGATGTTTGGTAGCTGACTGTCACCTCTTCTCAACACCTCCCCCTGTGAAACTTGCGATGGAACAACAGCTGCTGTGCGACTGAGCTCCACCGGATTACTGGGGGTCAACGAAAAGACACGTCACGTGCCAAGTTAAAAACATCTGACCATGTTTCTGAAGCAATTGTTACCTAAATAAGTGCAGGAACCTGAACCAGGTCTGGGGGATTCGCTTATCATCCATGTCCTC